GATCACCTGAGGTCAGGAGTTCAAGACCAGCCTGGCCAACATGGTGAAACCCCATCTCTACAGTAAAAATACAAAAATAAGCCAGGCATGGTGATGGGCACGTGTAATCCCAGCTACTCGGGAGGCTGAGGTGGGAGAATCGCTTGAACCCAGGAGGCAGAGGTTGCAGTGAGCCGCGATTGCGCCATTGCACTCCACCCTGGGCGAAAAGAGTGAAACTCTGTCTCAAAAAAGAAAAAAAAAAAAGTTAAACGGTGGCTTGTGGTAAAGGGGCCATGACTTTCACTGTTGCTCACTGCTATTGCTGGGAAGGAATAATACAAAAGTATCCTATTGTGGTTCTATTTCTGCTCTATTGGGTTTTACTTTATTATTTTCCTTCGAAAAAAGTAACCTTTAGATATGAACCCCTGCTTTACATATTCTCCGTATACACTCTGGCTCTGAATTTAATAAACATAATCTTTAAATGAAAAGGGCATAAGTAAATCAACGAGTAGCTCAATGTTATTATTCATCAACTTTGAAATGATTCCTCTACTGTCAACAGCTGACCAATGGATATGAAAGGCCATTAGTATGTGTCCTGAGGGTAAGGATTATGTGTTACTAATCTGTGATTACTCTGAAACAGATATAAGCACAGGGCTTGCCATATCTAATAAATTGAAATCAAAACTGAAAGTACCATATAAACAACAAACATAAGTATAAAAGATTACATTATTTTTCACAGTAAAAGTAATCCTGAGAATTTAAACCTGGCTGTTAAGGTACCACCTTCAAAGAAGGCTTCCATAAGAGTTAGTGAATCACATGTAACTTAGTAAAAGTGGAAAGAAGGAAGAAGGAACTGTAGGCTTACAATCTAGGGGACAAAGTAATTTGTGGTGGCTGTTGCATGACAAATTCCAAAGGATCTAAGACAGGAAATGTTACAAGTGGGAAATCTTGAACACTTTGACACTAAATAAAACTCTAAAAGATAAACGTAACCTTTCATCTGGGCTAATGAAATATTCTGCTCATATGAGATTAGTAGGTACATATACGCCATCTTTTCATTAAAAATATAAATGGAGTAATTAAAAATAATTAGGTATATGTGCTATTATGAGAGGATGACCAAGATGTACTACTAAGTGAAAAAATCAAGGTGTGAAAATAGTGTAAATGGTTTCTTTTTGTTAAAAAGATACTTTTTTTAAATATTATTTTTTTATTTTTATTTTGAGACATAGTCTCGCTTTGTCACCCAGGCTGGAGTTCAGTGGCATGATCTCGGCTCACTGCAGCCTCTGCCTCCTGAGTTCAAGCGGTTCTCCTGCCTTAGCCTCCCGAGTAGCTGGGATTACAGGTGCACTCCACCATGGTTGGCTAATTTTTGTATTTTTAGTAGAGATGGGGTTTCACCATGTTGGCCAGGCTGGTCTCGAACTCCTGACTTCAAATGATCCACCACCAAAAAAAAAGAAAATTTTAATCTGCATATGCTGGCAGTAATGCATGACTCTTCCCTGGCCCCTCACCCCTACTCCCACTCCTTTTCCCCAGGAAGAAACCAATGGTTCAGAGGAAATGGGATGAAAGGGTGGAAGGGAACTTTTACTTTGCATTTTGTTCTTTTCTGTAGTATCTGGAATATATATATATATATATATATATATATATATAAAAATTTCTTTTTTTTTTTTTTTTTTTTTGATGGAGTTTTGCTCTTGTTGCCTGGGCGATGGAGTTTTGCTCTTGTTGCCTAGGCTGGAGTGCAATGGTGTGATCTCAGTTCATGGCAACTTCCACCTCCGAGGTTCAAGTGATTCTCCTGCTGCAGTCTCTCAAATAGCTGGGATTACAGGCACGCGCCACCATGCGCCGCTAATTTTGTATTTTTAGTAGAGATGGGGTTTCTCCATGTTGGTCAGGCTGGTCTTGGACTCTCGATCTCAGGTGATCCGCCCGCCTCGGCCTCCCAAAGTGTTGGGATTATAGGCGTGAGCCACCGTACCTGGCCCGTGTATATATATATACACACACACACATAACTTTTACTTAAGATAATGTCCATCTGGTTGGTGGCATTGCGGATCAGTTTGATTTTTAAAAATTATCTGCAATATTAGACTATTAATATAAGTTCCTAGGGACCATGTCAATGTTTGATTAATGTTGCTGCCCATGATGTTGCCTGTCATAGTAGCTTTTTATATTGAGATACCCAATAAACTTTTGTTCCATTGAAAAAAATTAATAATGTTATTTAAAATATTTTAAAAGTAAGTTTAAACAAGACAAGCAGCTGAGTCCATTCTCTGAAGCAATGCTAGCAAGACCCAGGAGTTTATACTGGCTGGACAGTATGAGGATGGCTAATTTGCAATTTGTGCCCAGGATAATGCAATTTATATCTACTTCCTTAATCAACAAATCTAATATGCACTAGAAATAATTTTCCAAAAGGTACAGATTTAGAAAATATCCGAGAATCAGTGTGATCTACCTTACCTAACCCCTCTGTAATCACTGCAGTACTTCTTTCTTCCAAACCTATCCTTCTCTGTCTTGCTTTGTGATACTGGAACTAGCCCTTATAAACATTTCTCCTTTGCCAAAATGCAGAATATTAAGCTTTGCCAGTAAAGATGCTGAAGGAACACTGCAGTAGGAAGTGGATTCTCTTCCTAGTTCTGGTGTACTTTCTCCTTCTTGCTACTGTGGTAGGCACCTACTGGTGGTGTGTGGGACTACAGTGGCAGTGCTCACTATCTATAAAGTTTCAGGGGTACCCGAGGTGGTAGCTTCCTATCAAGTTTCACTGGCACCCTAGAAGTTTCAGGGCCATCCTAATGGGTGGCTTCCTAGCAAGTCTTGCCAGCGCTCCAGCAGGCAGTTTACTGCTTGCCAGTTCTGGTCTGTTGAAATTTTATGCCATCCAGTGGCCACAACACCTCTCCAACATGATCTGAATCAGCCTAGATCTGGGGAGGGGCTTTCTTCCAAGTCTGCTTCTTTGTTGGGTACTATGCCTGAGCTCTAGAGGCAGTAGTTGCTCCCTATATTCTATTCCCGTACTCTTAAGAATTCTCTTTACCTCTTAGTAGTTAATCCCCTATTACTACTTAATAACTCCCTATATTAAAATTTCTGGTCAGGTGTGGTGGCTCACCCCTGTAATCCCAGCACTTTGGGAGGCCAAGGTGGGCAGATAGCTCGAGTTTAGGAATTTGAGACCAGACTGGGCAACATGGTGAAACTCTGTCTCTATGAAAAATTACAAAAATCTGCTAGACGCGGTGGCTCACACTTGTAATCCCAGCACTTTGGGAGGCCAAGACAAGAGGATCATGAAGTCAAGAGATCAAGACCACCCTGGCCAACATGGTGAAACCTCGTCTCTACTAAAAATACAAAAATTAGCTGGGTGTGGTGGCACGCACCTGCAATCCCACCTACTCAGGAGGCTGAGGGAGGAGAATTGCTTGAACCTGCGAGGTGGAGGTTGCAGTGAGCTCAGATTGCACCACTGCACTCCAGCCTGGGTGACAGAGCATGACTCCATCTCAAAAAATAAAAACAAACAAAAAAAAAACCACATTAGATGGTTGTGGTGGCATGTGCCTGTAGTTTCAGCTACTTGGGAGGCTGAGACGGGAGGATCACTTGAGCCTAGGAGACAGAGGTTGTAGGGAGCTAAGATTGTGCCACTGCACTACAGCCTGGGCAACAGAGTGAAACCCTGTCTCAAAAAAATAAAAATAGGCTGGGCACGGTGGCTCATGCCTGCAATCCCAGCACTTTGGGAGGCCGAGATGGGTGGATCACCTGAGGTCAGGAGTTCGAGACCCGCCTGACCAACATGGTGAAACCTCATTTCTACTAAAAATACAAAAAATCAGCCAAGTGTGGTGGTGTATGCCTATAATCCTAGCCACTTGGGCAGCTGAGGAGAACCGCTTGAATGTGGGAGAAGGAGGTTGCAGTGAGCCGAGATTGCGCCATTGCACTCTAGCCTGGGCAACAAGAGCTAAAACTCCATCTCAATAAATTAATAATAAAAATAAAAATAAAATAAAATTTCTCTGTTCAAATTACTGGTGTGGTTTCTGCTTCCTGATTGGACCTTGACTGATTCATCCCTAAACCAAAACAATCCAAAACAAACTCATCCAACAACAAACTATGCCAACCACAAAAAATCAAATCCAAGCCCACCACTAAAACATTAAGTATGTATGATTACTCTGCTAACAGAGAGAAACAGTATGGCAGTTACCAAACTTGTTACCTTATTGCTTCTTGCAGCTGACTGTGCATGTGGCTGAATAGTAAGTGAGCTGCTACCACAGAATTACTGTGCATTATTGCATATTTCAAAAGGACATATTAAATGTATTGTTCCAAGTGTGGGTGGTTATCTAATGTTTTACAAGTCTTTCACAGGAAAAGAAATTTGCTGATTTTTGTCTGCCATAAGAATTAATCTATTTATGAAAAAGCATAGATATAACTGTAATATGTGACAGAATTTTAAAAAATCACTTTGAACATTCCGGAAAATTCTCAGAAGGTTCACAGAAATTACCAGTAAAGTTAAACTCTAATTTCTGGCTTCAATGTCATTCACTCAATAAATATTTACTGAGTGGCCCTGGGACATAGCAGTAAAGAAGACAGACAATATCCCAGCCTCATGGAATTTACTTTCTATGATGGAGAAAAAACATGTAAACAAACCAATATGTAACATAAATTCAGATGTTTTAAAGTGTTATAAAGAAAATTAAGGAAAAGGATGTAATGGGTGTGGATGCTATTTTAGGAGATGATTTAGTGTTCTATATTAAATTTCCTACACATAGCAATAAATGTTATAATAAATATAACCACAGATACATCTTAGGCATACTACTAAGAGGACAGGACTCATGTAGTTCCATAATAAATCAAACTGAATACATTTATGTAAATCGTAACAAGCTTATATATGGACCAATGAAACTTACCCTATAGAAAGCACTGGTCAAAGGGAGTAATGCTGCGGCAATGTTATATTCTTCTAAACTTGAACAATCCTTTAAGCAAAACGAAGACAAAAGAGCATTAGGATACTTTTACCAGAAATCACAAATATATGGGAACTAACATCTGGAATACACTGTTTACTGTCCTATGGGGTTTTTACCTTTTTATTTTTATTTTGCAGAGGACCTGACAGAGGGGTTTGTACTTTTATTCCAAACTGCCATTAAGGCATAGCTAAGTTTTGGGGTAAAAAACTGTGTGTGAAGCACATTCTTTTTTTTTTTTTTTTGAGATGGAGTCTTGCTCTGTTGCCCAGGCTGGAGTGCAGCAGTGCGATCTTGGCTCACTGCAAGCTGCGCCTCCTGGGTTCACACCATTCTCCTGCCTCAGCCTCCCAAGTAGCTGGGACTACAGGCGCCCGCCACTACACCCAGCTATTTTTTTTTACTTTTAGTAGAGATGGGGTTTCACCACGTTAGCCAGGATGGTCTTCATCACCTGACCTCGTGATCCGCCTGCTTCGGCCTCCCAAAGTGTTGGGATTACAGGCGTGAGCCACTGTGCCTGGCCCACATTCTTTCGTAAATAATGTAAAAGTACATTTGAGAAAGGTATTTTCATACAGTATTGCTGAGTAGCCACTTTTACTTTCCTGCTCTACAAAGATTGTGTTAAAAGTTGTGTAATTTACACAAATTTTTTTTGGAGGGGTTTTTAGTATGTTTACCAACTATATTCCATTGAGACTAAGATACATTTTTTGCACATTTTAACACTTCTGAGATTGGGATCATCTTATAATTGACTGGAGGTATTTTTTTCTCTCTCACTGTTATATAAAAAGGGTTATCTTGCAGGTCGGGTGCGGTGGCTCATGCCTGTAATCCCAGCACTTTGGGAGGCCGAGGCAGGTGGATCGCCTGAGGTCAGGAGTTGGAGACCAGCCTGGTCAACACGGTGAAACCCTGTCTCTACTAAAAATACAAAAATTAGCCAGTCATGGTGGCGGGCGCCTGTAATCCCAGCTACTTGGAAGGCTGAGGCAGGAGAATCGCTTGAACCCAGGAGGCGGAGGTTGCAGTGAGCCAAGATCCTGCCACTGCACTCCAGCCTGGATGACAGAGTGAGGCTGTCTCAAAAAAAAAAAAAAAAAAGGAGGGGTGGGTGGCGTGGGGGATCTTGCTATTGATCAGACAAGATATATCACTGATTCTAAAACCCATTGAGTGAAATGCTGATGAATAGAAAGTTCAGGAAATCTCAGTGGGAATGTAAAATGGCACAGTGACTGTGTATAGCAATTCCACACACACAAAAAATAAAGAAATATATAATTACTGTATATTACAGTTATTCTTCTGGACATATACCCAAAAGAATAGAAAACAAGAACCCAAACAGGTTTCTGTATACTCATATTCACAATAGCATTATTCACAATAGGCAAAAGGTAAAAGTGACTCAGGTGTCTGTTGACAAATAAGTGAATAAACACAATGCGGTGGAGAGAGGTTCCAAGATGGCTGAATAGGAACAGCTCCAGTCTGCAGCTCCCAGTGTGAGTGAGGCAGAAGACGGGTGATTTCTGCATTTCCAATTGAGGTACTGGGTTCATCTCACTAGGACTTGTCAGACAGGAGGTGCAGCCCATGGAGCAGGGCGGGGCATCGCCTCACCTGGGAAGCAGAAGGGGTTGGGGAATTCCCTTTCCTAGCAAAGGGAAGCTGTGACAGATGGTACCTGGAAAATCAGGACACTCCCACCCTAATACTGCGCTTTTCCAATGGCCTTAGCAGATGGCACACCGGGAGATTATATCCTGTGCCTGGCTCAGAGGGTCCCACACTCACGGAGCCTCACTCACTGCTAGCACAGCAGTCTGAGATCGAACTGCAAGGTGGCAGTGAGGCTGAGGGAGGGGTGTCCACCATTGCTGAGGTTAGAGTAGGTAAACAAAGCCACCAGGAAGCTTGAACTGGGTGGACCCCACTGCAGCTCAAGGAGGCCTTCCTATGTAGACTCCACCTCTGGGGGCAGGGCATAGCTGAACAAAAGGCAGCAGAAACTTCTGCAGACTTAAACATCCCTGTCTGACAGCTTTGAAGAGAGTAGTGGTTCTCCCAGCATGGAGTTTAAGATCTGAGAACAGACAGACTGCCTCCTCAAGTGGGTCCCTGACCTATGAATAACCTAACTGGGAGGCACGTCCCAGGAGGGGCCAACTGACACCTCATATAGCTGGGTGCCCCTCTGAGACGAAGCTTCCAGAGGAAGGATCAGAAAGCAACATCTGCTGTTCTGCAATATTTGCTGTTCTGCAGCCTCTGCTGATGATACTCAGGCAAACAAGGTCTGGAGTTGACCTCCAGCAAACTCCAACAGACCTGCAGCTGAGGATCCTGACTGTTAGAAGGAAAACTAACAAACAAAGGACATCCATACCAAAACCCCATCTGTATGTCACCATCAAAGACAAAAGATAGATAAAACCACAAAGATGGGGAGAAAACAGAGCAGAAAAGTTAAAAATTCTAAAAATCAGAGCGCCTCTATTCCTTCAAAGGAATGTAGCTCCTTGCCAGCAACAGAACAAAGCTGGATGGAGAATGACTTTGATGAGATGAGAGAAGAAGGCTTAAGACGATCGGCAGTAAAAAACTTTTCTGAGCTAAAGGAGGATGTTTGAACCCATTGTGAAGAAGCTAAAAACCTTGAAAAAAGATTAGACGAATGGCTAACTAGAATAAACAGTCTACAGAAGTCCTTAAACGACCTGATGGAGTTGAAAACCATGGCATGAGAACTACATGACACATGCACAAGCTTCAGTAGCCAATTTGATCTAGTGGAAGAAAGGGTATCAGTGATTGAAGATCAAATGAATGAAATGAAGTGAGAAGTTTAGAGAAAAAAGAGTTAAAAGAAACGAACAAAGCCTCCAAGAAATATGGGACTATATGAAAAGACCAAATCTATGTCTGATTGGTGTACTTGAAAGTGATAGGGAGAATGAAACCAAGTTAGAAAATACTCTTCCGGATATTATCCAGGAGAACTTCCCCAACCCAGCAAGGCAGGCCAACATTCAAATTCAGGAAATACAGAGAACACCACAAAGATACTCCTGGAGAAGAGCAACTCCAAGACACATAACTGTCAGATTCACCAAAGATGAAACGAAGGAAAAAAATGTTAAGGACAGCCAGAGAGAAAGGTCGGGTTATCCACAAAAGGAAACCCATCAGACTAACAGCAGATCTCTCGAGAAAAACACTACAAGCCAGAAGAGAGTGGGGGCCAATATTCAACATTCTGAAAGAAAAGAATTTTCAACCCAGAATTTCATATCCAGCCAAACTAAGCTTCATAAGTGAAGGAGAAATAAAATCCTTTACAAACAAACGAATGCTGAGAGATTTTGTCACCACTAGGCCTGCCTTACAAGAGCTTCCGAAGGAAGCAATAAACGTGGAAAGGAACAACCGGTACCAGTCACTGCAAAAACATACCAAACTGTAAAGACCATCGATGCTAGGAAGAAACTGCATCAACTAACGAGCAAAATAATCAGCTGACATCATAATGACAGGATCAAATTCACACATAACAATATTAACCTTAAATGTAAACGGGCTAAATGCTCCAATTAAAAGACACAGACTGGCAAATTGGATAGAGTCAAGACCCATCAATGTACTGTATTCAGGAGAGCCATCTCACATGAAGACACACACATTAGGCTCAAAATAAAGGGATGGAGGAAGATCTACCAAGCAAATGGAAAGAAAAAAACCCAAAAAACAGGGGTTGCAATCCTAGTCTCTGATAAAACAGACTTTAAACCCACAAAGATCAAAAGAGACACAGAAGGCCATTACACAATAGTAAAGGGATCAATTCAACAAGAAGAGCTAACTACCCTAAATATAGATGCACCCAATACAGAAGCAGCCAGATTCATAAAGCAAGTCCTTAGAGACCTACAAAAAGACTTAGACTCCCACACAATAATAATGGGAAACTGTAAAACCCCACTTTACACTGTTGGTGGGACTGTAAACTAGTTCAACCATTGTGGAAGACAGTGTGGTGATTCCTCAAGGATCTAGAACTAGAAATACCATTTGACCCAGCCATCCCATTATTGGGCATATACCCAAAGGATTATAAATCATGCTACTACAAAGACACATGCACACATATGTTTATAGTGGCACTATTCACAGTAGCAAAGATTTGGAACCAACCCAAAAGTCCATCAATGACAGACTGGATTAAGAAAATGTGACACATATACATGATGGAATACTATGCGGCCACAAAAAAGGATGAGTTCTTGTCCTTTGTAGGGACATGGCTGAAGCCAGAAACCATCATTCTGAGCAGTCAATCGCAAGGACAGGAAACCAAACACCGCATGTTCTCACTCATAGGTGAGAACTGAACTATGAGAACACTTGGACACAGGGTGGGGAACATCACACACTGGGGCCTGTCGTGGTGAGGAGGGAGGTGGGAGGTATAACATTCGGAGATACACCTAATGTAAATGACGAGTTAACGGGTGCAGCACTCCAACATGGCATATGTATATATATGCAACAAACCTGCACGTTGTGCACATGTACCCTAGAAATTAAAGTATAATAATTTTAAGAAGTATAAAAAACAAAACAAACAAAACACACAATGTGGTATATAAGCACACACACATAGATGTATGGAATATTCAGCCTTAAAAAGAAATTCTGACACATGCTACCACGTGGATGAACCTCGAGGACATCATTATGCTAATCTTTTTTTTTTTTTTTTTTGAGACAGAGTCTCACTCTGTCACCCAGGGATGGAGTGCAGTGGCATGATCTCAGCTTACTGCAACCTCCGTCTCCCAGGTTCAAGCGATTCTCGTGCTTCAGCCTCCTGAGTAGCTGGGATTATAGGCACATGCCACCACACTTGGCTAATTTTTATATTTTTAGTAGAGACAGGGTTTCATCATGTTGGCTAGGCTGGTTTTAAACTCCTGACCTCAAGTGATCTGCCTGCC